TGGAAAGATGCGGTAAAAACTTCACTGCTTTACAACCTGAGGAAAAAATGTCCACAAAATCACACACATAATAAGGTGCTGTCCTGTCTTCCTAGCACTACCGACAAAAGGCGCCTAAATACCTGCATAAGCACGCAGTTCTCCTTCCGTACCCCAAGTAAGTGTAAGGCTTTTAATAAAAACATTTCAAACACCTTGTCCTTAAAATGCACGCCAAAAGAGAAGGGAAGAAAAAGTTGGGACGGAACCTGGTTTTATGATGTTCGTGATAATAAACTATAACCTATTTTTAAACTTCATTCAGAAAAGTTCAGTTCTTATCAAGTGTTTTATTAACAAAATTCAGAGACTGTTCATTTCGACTGTCGCAGGAGATCGTACACAAAGAATCAACACAAGGAGGCGAATGTCCTGTTGTTCCATTTACATTTTTAATTGCGCAACAAATGTATTTAGTGGAACTAACATATCCACTCACCGACTTTTACTAGCGATGTTGTAAAAACTGCCGCCTGGTTGTAGAATTTTTCCTCGGCTATTCGAAGCATGACTATCTCGCTCAGGCATGTCAAAATGGTCTAAGGGAAATCAAACTGCAGATCCTGGCCAATCAATAGAAAATATTGTTTGTACCGTCGCGGGGCAACACAAGTTATAAACAATATTCAACCTGTAACCGCTTGTTGCCTCGAAGCACAACACCATCACGTTTGGGGAGGAAGTCGAAACCTTTGAGCGGTGATTGGAAAATTTAAGAATGAGCGACTGGTCGAGTGGTCTCTATGGCTGTTTCGAAAATGTTGGAATCTGCTTCAAGGCGTTTTTCTGCCCATGCATCGTTGCAGGGCAAATTGGGGAAGCTCTTGGAGAAAGCTGCTTCTTCCACTGTTTCATATCCACAATATGGTTGCCAGGAGTCTTATACGGGGCGGAAAACCGCGGAAAACTTCGGGCGATGTATCAGATCCCGGTATGTTGGGCTTTTGGACTTAATCAAGTGCATGACCTAATGAAAAGTTCAGGGTACAGCATCATGTCAGAATCATGTGTTGACAATGAGCAATAGTTTAAATTTTTTTAATGAACTGCTGAAATCAAAAGAGATAGACCCTTTGAGAAGTCTATCGTGTGCTACGTGTACACGGGATTTCCCTGCAAGTATTACCGTCTTTATGTTGGCAATTTCTAAGATCAGTCTGAAGAATTTACCTGACCTAAGTGCGCAATCTTGAGAACATAGCCTAGATAGTTTTCAGGGCATCGAACGATTTAACGAACCCTATTGTAAATCTTGTTCGTGCGAACTTTTTTTAACAAGCTTTGCTTTCATTTTATGGTGGAAAGCTAAAAATTATCAAAAACAAAATTTGAAAACATAGCGCAGACATAGCGTGAAAGGTTCGCTGGAAACTTCGAAAGATGATTGCAGTTCACTCGCGTGAATGTTCTTGAATCAATTATTAATTATCACTTTATGAAAACAAAGCTACGTCTAAAACAACTTTGAATATATCACGAAACACTGAGCCGTGGATTCAAGACATCTATAAAATATTCGAATTAATCCTCAAAACCTCTTAAATTTCGATCGAAACGGAACAATTCTCAGACCATGTCCGGCAAAGCGAGTGGAGCGTTGGCAAAAGAAAATAAATCAGATTAGGGAAGGAAAGGATCAATCAGAAACAAGCAAATGCTAATGATATTTCGCTTATTGTTCATGTCAGTGAGGGGCGCGCGTCAGTATGGAGATTATAAAACAGTGGGATAGATTGTAGAAGTGACTGTGTAAATGAAAGCTTAAATAGTGGAAGAAGACGAGAAAAGAGGAAATGGAAAACGGAAATAAGGTCTTAGGACAATTACATTTACAGTGTTGTATAGAAGATTATACAAATTTATTACGGAGTCAGTATTCAATACCCCTTTGCGTGAGGTGAAGTTGTCTCTTTCCCCCCCCATTCCCATTGAGAATTAGTCATTTATGAAGTTTTTCTTGAGGCGATCGATTTAATTTTCCAATTTTGCCTCTCAATTTTGGCGCACAAAAGAGAAATACTTTCCATAAAGATGTAAAATCTTATAAAACAGCAATAAAATGAGGAACGAGAGAAAGATCATTGTAGACTTTGTGTCAAAGTTATTGTTACGACCGATTCAAACAGTTCAAAGTTTTGCGTGCTTAAACAGACATTTGTTATGTTTGCTTTAAATAAAACAAAACATGCATCTAGGAAATATGTACCAACAGCAACATCCTTGTTTTATTTCATTGTGTCTATGGTTAACGTGAGTAATTTTGCGTCATATAAAATACGGCACTGAAACGTCGTCACCCGAGTTTGTGTTAGGATATTGCGTGAGGTTTCCGCGGTATTTAATGCTGGTAAACAGGGGGTTTGAAGCTTTTCAATGTTAGAATATTTAATAAGTCTTGTCGCGGGTCGGAAGTTGATTTAACAGTTATCTTCCAAGTTAATGAACCTCAGACTAAAATTTCCCTTAGGAACTCGGTACTTAAGGAAATTTGTTTTTATAACTTAAATCAGCAGGTGAAATTGAATGATCTTGAAAATGATAACCCACTTGCGATTAGTTAATTGACAGTGTGAGGAGTATGCTTAATCATCCATGCTGAAAAAGAGAAAAAAACGTTCAAGCAGAGGCATTTCTGTCAATGGAAATCGAGAATTTGTAAAGCAAATTTTTAAGGAATTTGTCGATTGAAATATCAAAGAAACATGCCGAAGGTATTTCGATCCTCCATTGAATGCAGCTTTTATACATTGAGCAGAAGTAATGTATATCTTGCCCATTTTTAAAAAAGGCACCCACCCATCTCTTTCAGAGGGGGGGGGGGTCAGTTGTCACCAACAGGGTTTTAAGGGGGGTACTACAGAGAATTGACTGCCAATTAACTGGCAATGGAGAGGGGGGGGGGAACTTGAATCTTAAGAATATTACAGAGCCGGTATACAGGATCGGGTAAATTTTATCTTCACACGGCATATCCTCCCTCCCCCTCCGCCTCCCCCCGGGCTCTCGGGCTAGCGCTCATAACCAGGCTGTTAGTTTGTGGAAAATACGTGACGCTGAAATTAAGTTTTCGCTAATCTACTACTCACCATGTGTTCATTTAAACTTACTTGGATCTTATTCGTAGGGTTCGTGTTGTAACGACTTCCTGTTACACTTGTGCTGCCAAGGGTGTTCATATGCTCAAGAAGCCAGGGTGAGTTGCATTATCGTCACAAACATATATAAAACCAAAAAGTCAGTCCTGTACAAGAGAAGATGGAGGGCTTATCGATTGAATGTCGTTAAACCAAAACTAAGCAACCACATGCAACGGACGATCAGAAGAAAGGAAAATACCTTTAAGAGCAAATGAGATCGCGAGAGAACTTTAAGTAAAAACAACCCAGCTGCCTAAGGCAGGTGACCCAACAGCAAGTCCTGATTGGTTTTAGCCAGTTTCATATGATGGCTGAGAGAGTGGCGAAAAATTTCCTTCTTTACTCGTAGAGCGAAGTAAAGCAACACGTTTATAATGTCGGATTACTTTCGACGCTCGGTTGAAAACTGCTTCAACGTCTAACGTGATTCAAGATTGCTTTGGTTTTGCTCTATTTAAGTACATGACTGGTTTGGAGAGCTTGCGCCACCCTCTCAATCAATCAGATGCAAGACTAAAACCAATCTCAAGCTGGTCAACCGCGTTTTCCCGCGCTTTGGGCAGATTGCGTGTTATGACTTATAGTCCTCATTGGCTAATGATGATGTTGAGGTTTGAGCCGATTAGCCTTTGCGATAATCGTTTGGTACTGCTGTTTACAACCGGAATTGAAAACTGCTCTTTTCGAAATCGTGAGTAATTTAAAATAATCTCAGAGGTATTGTCCTAAAACACAGAGGAGGATGAAGAAGTTTGATTTTTGGCCGCAGATCCTAAAATAAGCCAAAGAATATGCCAAGTTAAGTAAATTTGAAATACTTCAAATTGAATAGTCACATGCGATCCTGTCGCTGATAGAACCTTGGTTCAGGCGAGCAGCTTAAACACTCGCAGGTCTGCTTGAAGGGGGGTGAGGGGGGTGAAGGTCACCAAAAAGTGGGGTGAATAAAGAAGAGTTCGTCTCGTAGCTTGATCCTCTGGTGATATCGAATACCTTACAAAATTGAGGGAGAAAATGAACACCTTAAACTTAATTTCCTTTCAGCGACCGACAGACGCAGTAAGGAGGGATGGGTGGGTGGGTGAAGTAGTTCGACCTGAGATGGGTGGAGAGCCTATTTGTTCTTGCGTAAAAATTAATTTTTCTCTGTTATTCAAGGATGTTCGAGTTGCCTTAGTTTAACTCCTTTTCATTTACTTCATTAGGAAATTACATCCCGTATGCCGGCTGGTGGCTCCATAGCAAGGTCCTAGAACCGAGGCTTCTGTTGGCTGTACTATCAGTGTGTCTAGGTGTTACAGAACTTTGCACGGTTCGCCGTGAGTGTTTTTGTTTTATATTCGTTAAATGATAGTAGTCAGACGGGGATAAAACAGGATGCAACGCTGTTGTAGCGCCTCGTCTTTTCTTTAGGAATAGGCAGATTCGCTTAGCCATGTTCATAATATCAACTACATATTGTAACTGATAAGCTTCTGATTCATTACCTTAAAAAGCCAGATCTGACTCAAATAGATCCTCTTCAAAAGAGACGACCGAAATTGAATTCCACAGTTTAAGATGAGGCTCTCTTGACGAATGACAATTTGAAAAAAATGTAACCTTAAGGCGTTGTCCAAGTCAGAATAGGGGGATATTTCAAGTAGGTTAAAATAATAAAAGGGAATAAGGGCCTGGAAATTCATAACAACCCCACTTTAAGGACATCTTTTGGACATTTTTCTTCCATGTCGCTTATCGTTTGAATTGTGATTAAAACTTCTTGGATAAAGTAAAAATTTATTTTGATAAATCTCCTTAAAATAATCCCATGGAGAGTGCTTTTGTTCTTGTTTGTTTTTTTCATATCGTTTGAATTATAATTAAGATTTCTTGGATGAAATAACAATTTATTTTGACAAATCTTCGGAAAATAATCCCATGGGGAATGCTTTTGTTGTCGTTTTTTTGTTTTGTTTTTATTTTATTGACCTCGTAGTGCAGTTTTTATCATTGGTCTTTGTTTCCAGTCGCCAATTTGAGGAGGGTCTATTAACCCATTCACTCCCAAGATCTCATTAGTAATGCTCCTCATTATCTGCCATACAATTTTTATAGAGTTGGTTCAGAGAATTTGATATTGGATCAACTAAGAGTCCCTTGATCGATATGTTTGTTTATTCTCATCACTTGTCTTCTTGATATTGTATTGATATTGTAGGGAGAAATTCTGTCTTGGTCACTCATGGGAGTTTAAGGGTTAACTCGTGTTCACACTTTCACGGCTCACTTTCACTTTCACGGCTCACTTGATTTTTGTTGTAACCAGAATTTTCAGACCAGGAAGCCGTTACGTTGTGACGCTTTCGACTTTTTAAAGGTCGCGTGAAACTACCCCAATAAACTAATCATTGCACTCGAAAGCTTTGTCTGAGTCCCATGTCTAAATATTGTGGGGTGGAACTCCTGCTTAGTTCTAAATATGACAGATTGGAGAGTACAGTTTTTCTATGAAAAGTACCAGGTTATGTCCATTTGGTATCTAGAATCCAAAATCGTACACTAGTTTCTAGCATCGGACACTGGTGTCTTATATCAAACACTATCGCCCAAAGCCAGACGCAAGTGTCTAGAATCGGACTCTAGTCGACGCATTTCCAAGAATGCAATCAGGGGTTCCTGCCTTGGTAATGAGGACGAAAAATAACTAGTCCTCTCATGGTGCTGCGTTTTTAAATTTATCCTGCGTGGAGTATATGGGCCTAAAATGGATTCAAAGAAGAATCGTACCACTGATGAAAAATATTTTCCGGAAATGTGAGTAATTACACCAACCAGCCGACCCACAAACAAAGCTATGAGGGGAGGAACTGATAACAGAGGCAGAATTCATATTTTTGTTACAAACCTGTCCAGTTTGAAAGTATTTTATGACAGAATTTCAACATTTGTCTGAAGTTCATCATAACAAACTAATGCGCCAAAAACGTAGCTAAAGTTGTTTCTCAGATCGCAATTTCCTCCAAGAGAACAAGTACGAGCCACGTGTATACAGTCGAAAAACGCTAAAAAACACTTTCCTTTCAAATAACATGCTCCATAACAAAAACGAGTCAAATACTAATTTTGACACAATAGACTACCTAAAAAAGTCTGTTACATTAGCCCTCTGTTTTAACCTTCTATGTCACAATTTGTAACTTGGAGAGAAATGTTTGGACCTGTGAACGGGCACGTTGAATGTCCTTCCTAAAGAAACAATAATAATAGCAACAAGAAGTAAAGTTATGGACAACTAATCATTTAGCTGTCAGTGGAAACTGAAAAAAAATATCTCATCTTCAGACGTCGAGTTCTTTGCTTTACTATCAGGCAACTGCCACCTATGTTTCTTGAGAGATAAATTGTCAAATTCACCAGTAAAGCTGAAGTGTTTTCCAAAAAGTGTTATCTAAAATCCTCGGCTACAATTGGCAGCCTGAAAAGACTATGTTTTGCAAAAAAGTTCAAATCAAATGGTGTTGTAAAACAATGCGTTGATTGAGACTCATATCTGTTGGAACGCTCCGAACGAGTTTCAACTTTCATAACCCAAAGTTTTATGTTCAACGAAGAAATAAGGGAAAAACCTTTCTATACAAAACACTGGGGCTGACCATTTCAGACGGTGTTCTTCCTCTAGTCCTAACATGGACGAAGAAGGGTAAAGTAACAAACAAAACAATAACAAAGAAAACGACAATCATAACACACCTTTGTTCCACAAAATCGCCTCGATCACAAGTCTTTAACTGTTCGTCAATGTGAAGAGCGCAAGTCTTAATGACGTTTGTCTCAGATTTTCCTGTCAAAAAAAAAAAAGAATAAAAGAAATGAAAAAATTTCATATCTCATAAGTTTGAAGAGAAGGACGGGGGGAAAAGAAAACTACCTCACAAAAAATTTTTCTCCCCATTCCCCCCTCAACATTAAAAACTGTCCTTAGTAGGTTAGTAGGTGGTCTCTTAAAGTAGACAATTGGGACAAATTTGAAGGTGATAAAGGATGTGACAAACTTATGACAGACAGTTTTCTGGCTCATACATTGGATCATTAGGTTGAGTTCTGCAGATAACTTTGGGCTCAGTTTTATGACAAATTTTAGCGTCGGGCTCTCTGGTTCTTACTCTCATAAATCCTGGACAATATTTTCCCTTATCTGTTAGGAAGAGGAGGAGGTGACAGTAACGGAAGGGGCGTTAGAGAAGCGCTCCCAAGGTAACGAAAGGAAACCATGAATATTATTAAAATGATTAATCGATGCCAATGCTCGCCTTACATTAGATCAAATAAAGAAAATTGATAAGCATTCAAGAACTTTCCGTTGCATTAAATGTTCAACCCCCTAGCAAAAGAATCTAAACAGGACATAGATGATCTTAAACCTCCAAGGGCGCCCAGAAGTGAAATAACAGCTCCCTGTTGGTCAATGTTTTCATCGACTGCTCCGGACAACACCTGCTCTTTCAATTCCAACGAGAAGGATCTAAAAAGGCAAAATAATAAGTAGTGTTAGTGTCATTTGTGCTGCAAGTGTTGAAAGTGTTGTAAAGAATCTTATAACCCGATTCTGACTATCCAATGTTAGTATTATCACTAACGTAGAAACAGAGGTTTTAACAACTTTTACCATAAGCGGCTGCCAATGATGTAATGAGCAGCGTTGCCCACAAAAGACCGTAAGGCGAAATCACAAATCGGACGACAGAACTCAATTTTCACTACAAGGACACTTAACAATTTGAACTACATCTTTACCTCAACAAGGCATGAGCGCTTGTTATTATTTTCACAATAAAACTTGCAAATGTGGGTAACTCAGGCACAGCATCGGTGACATCTTCCACAACGTGCGTCTCAAATGAGAAAGAAAGGAGAAAATGTGATTGGTCCAGAAACCTTACGCCACTCTCTAAACCAATCAATGCAAAGCTAAATCTAATCACGACATGTTCGCCAGAGCAGTTCTATCATACCTGTTGCGTGATGTTTGTCAATACAGCAGACACCAGTGGTTTGAAGAAACAAGCATTAGATCCGCTGCCGCGTTTCCGACCAAGCTCTGTAAGCTGGAGAACTTCAGCCAAGGCGGGACGAAAAGTGAGAAGTGCCTGAAAAGCGAATAAATAAATGAATGAATGAATAAGAAAATCAAATATAGGATAACACACGATTGAAATAAACAAAAAAGGAGCACAAGCAGGTGAAAGGGACGAAGAAACAGGGAAAACTGCAAGCGAACGGAACAAGGAACAACATTGAACCAGTTAGAAAACGTATGGCACGGATGGAACACCATGAAGAAAACCGTTATTCCTAACCTGTGGTAGAACATCCACTTCTGTACTGTCACAAGCAGTCAATATTTGAAGTATGTTTGTCAGGACAATCGACACAGGCCCACTTTGAACAGTGACATTTCCTGTTTCTGCAAATAGACAAAGACAACACAAACGTAGATTTTATTCCATGCACTGCGAGGAGCAACAAATAAATACACCTTATCTGCTGGTTTAAATGTCTGCGCCAATCACATCGTTCACCGAATAAGGGAATTATATTTCATTCCATTTATTAATCAGTTAACCATAATCATTTTCAATAGCTTGAGGTTTTACTTTTTCGTTTTTCTAGTATCATGGCCTTGAGGTTTAAAACAAATCTGGCATTATATAAAAATCGTATCGAATGCATGAGGCGCGCGCGAAAGACGGAAACACCTCAAACAAAATAATGAAAGTGACCACCCGCACAAAAAATGTGTTTTCCTAAAAGGTTCATCACTTAGAATCAAGCCGACAATGTATTTGCTCCACTTTCCGTTCGTATTTTTGTCCTGTGCAACAAATACCTGTGTAAAAGTTGGCTACGCTAAACCACAAGTTAAAGAAAATTGTCTGTTCAGTGTGTACTTTTATTAATAAAGTCAGGAAGACTTATCAATATCGTTTTTACCTAAATAATATACAGTGATGGTAAGTTCTGTATTGTTTTGGTAAGACGATAGTTATAAATCTTCCTGGCATGAGGTACTTCTCCTGAGGTACTTACCATCACTCAAAAGCACGCTCTCAGCAAGTTGATAAAGCAGCTTGGAAAGATGCGGTAAAAACTCCACTGCTTTACAACCTGAGGAAAAAAAATGCCTGCGAAATCACATACATAATAAGGTGCTGTTCTTCCTGTCACTACCGACATGAAGCGCCTAAATACCTGCACAAGCACGCAGTTCTCCTCCGGTACCCCACGCTAGTGTCAGGGTTTTAATAAAAACATTTCAAACACCTTGTCCTTAAAATGCACTCCAAAAGAGAAGGGAAGGAAAAGTTGGGACGGAACCTGGTTATACGCAGAATTCATATTTTTGTTGCAAACCTGTCCAGTTTGAAAGTATTTTGTGACAGAATTTCAACATTTGTCTAAAGTCCATCATAACAAACTAATGCGCCAAAAACTTAGCTAAAGTTGTTTCTCAGATCGCAATTTCCTCCAAGAGAACAAGTACGAGCCACGTGTATACAGTCGAAGAACGCTAAAAGACACTTTCCTTTCAAATAACATGCTCCATAACAAAAACGAGTCAAATACTAATTTTGACACAATAGACTACTTAAAAAAAGTCTGTTACATTAGCCCTCTGTTTTAACCTTCTATGTCATATGAGTTCGTGATAAAAAACTGGTACCTATTTTCAAACTTCATCCAAAACAGTTCAGTTCTTACCAAGTGTTTTATTAATAAAATTCAGTGACTGTTCATTTTAATTGTAGCAGGAAATCGTGCACAAAGATTCAATATAAGGAGGCGAATGTCCCGTTTTCTGACTTTCTTAATTGCGCTACAAATGTATTTAGTGAAACTAACAAATTCACTCACCGATTTTTGCTACCGATGTTGTAAAAACTGCCGCCTGGTTATAGAATTTTTTCTCGGCCATTCGAAGCATGAATATCTCGCTCAGGCATATCAAAATAGTCTAAGGAAAAACAAACAGTAGATCCTTAATACTACATCACAAGAGCCTCAGCTTCGAAACGGACTTGTCACACTCATAGATAAGCGAATTCTCATAATGCGATTGGCTATTCCAGAAAACAGAAAAAACTCAGTCAATAAGCATTTTACCCTTTGAACGTCGCTCGCGTATCGAGGGCGGCACGGATCTGTATGGCCCTGCTCACGCTCTCACTTGCGGCCTTCATACGAGGGTTTTTATCGAATTTTTTTTTTACTGAAAGCGCGCACACGGGGCCGTATAGATCATATGATAAATCGGTTTATCGCGTGAGACAACGTCAGGTGGTGAAGTTTCCAGTCTAGTGCTAGTATCAATACATACCTCTACTAAGTGAATTACCAAACAACAAAATTTTTCCTCCTCGCGAACACGTTTGGCACCAGTAGCTACTTTCATCGATTCATCAGAAACTTTCCTAAAATTTAATTCACACTGTTATATACATTTCCATTTTGTTCATGAGACTCATAATTTTGCTAATTACCACAACAACTAACTGAAAAGATAGCTACAGACTTCTCCCTTCCTCGGAAAAAAAAAAAGGTCCTCACAAGTCATTGCAAATTGAGAACCCGTTGTAAAAAAAATAAGGAAAGCAAACGCTTTCCTTGTAACATAGAGACTTAAGGGCGTATGCAAAAAAAATATTTCTGTTAATATCTATTTAATAAATCAACCACATTTTTCCACTGTCTTTAACCTTGATGATCATAGAAATGACGTTGACAATTTTAGAAACTAGAGTAAAACCACGAGGAACATCAATTTTTCCTGATTGCTGAGCGCTGTGTTACATGATATGTCATTTTTATCCTCTAAAACCTTTTATATAATAAGCTCAGTTATGCACGAAGTCTGTTTGATTCTCAGTTATGATCTTTCGGAGGACAGACGTATAGATGACGTCATCATTAAAACTAATTTTTAATTCTTTATTATATAAAACAAATAGATTCGAAGTTGTGTCATCACCGAAGTTGTGTCATCAGTGACACACTCGGCTGCGCCTCGTGTGCCACTTTTTTGTTCTTACCACATTTTGACGTCATTTGTGATCTATTACCGAACAGACGCACGGCAACTTGGAATCTATTTGTTAAATTGACGATGGCCCTCGACCAATGCGCGTACGAGAATTTCTACAGTTTTTGTAAAAACATAGACACCATGCACGTTCGTTATTGCAGCGTCTACGTATCTACATCATGTAGGATAACCAAAACATACTCCAGGGGAAACCGCTGACCTGTCCTGCTTAATTACTGGCAGTAATACTCTGTCACCCCAGACAAGCACGTTTTCCATGGCTGTCAAAGCTCCTTCATGATCATCATTCTTTTCCTTCAAACACAACGAAGACAGTTCGTAAATCTTCAAACTTGATACTCAGAAAGAAGCTAGGAACACATCAATGCACGGATGGCATGCAAGAAGGTAAATATTGCCCAATGTACGAACGGAGAAAACGCGTGTGGGGCGAGTTTGTTTCAAATAGTTCTCGAAGAAGTTTCAATCACCTGTCATAGGCCCGACTTAGAATATCACGATATCGATAACAGGGAAGTGGGAACTGGTCAAGTAAACTTTCCTTTGTCTTTCAAGAACGCCTCCTTAAATTACTACGGTCAATTAACTATGTTTGGAATACCAATAACATTATTATTGTAATCATCATTATTACTATTATTATTATTGTTATTATTATTATTATTATTATTATTATTATTATTATTATTATTAGCCCTATTATTATAAGTATTACTATCACCATTACAATAATCCTCTCTTTTACAGAGAACTGATTTTTGTATTTACCATGTGGTGTAAGTGGATTTCTGACAGACAGTATGCCTGGAAAGCCTTCTGAAAGAATTCTACGTCACTTTCGGACAAAGGGACTGGTACTGAGTCAATTGATGTAAGATGAGATTCAATGATCGCCTACGGAAGTAATAGGGTGGAGTAATAAACATCACGCTAAACTAAAGGGCGTTATCCAAATACATCACATTCTCTCGCAAGTTTAAAAGGAAATGTATAGCATTTAGAGAAGAGAATTACCAATCCAAGGAAATAAAAATTGACGAGAGATTTACTTCACGGTATTCCTTAACCCTTCAACTCCCAGAAGTGATTGAAATCTGACTACTTCTGTTAATATCCATACATTATCCAGCAAACAAGTAATAAGAATACTCATGCTGATCAAGTAGATGTTGTTTTCATGATAAAACACCAAATTCTTGTAACTAATTTATTAGGAAATGTGTAGCAGCCAAAGAAGAGAATTAATAATCAAATCTTGGAGTTAAAGGGTTAACTTACGCTTCTACAACATTTCCCTAAACTCGTTGCGCTTCGATTGCTTTATCCTTCTTCCCCCTTCCCGCGCTTTGGAATCAGACAAGTCTGTGCGAGGCGATCGTTCAACAAACGGGGCATGATAGTGGTGCTGGGCGAAAACCCTTCGCTACAATCCCGCTATCAATAAACACCCAAAAGAGGCTTGCTGAAAAAACGGGTCAGGTTGCAATTCATTGCTCATGGTAGCAATCACACATTTACCATAATCAGCCTTAAATTATCAGCTATCTTTCGTAATTTGTCGTGGTGCTCCTGCACTGCTGTGCGGCACGTGGGCTCACCCTGAAAAAGGATGAAGAAGTATCAGGCGGACGAAATGTCCTGCAAGTTAAGGTCAAGAACATCTGAAAGACAGTCCAAAAAATGGAATTGTGAGATACGACAGTGTTTCCGCGCACGGCTCAATTTGTTGTAAGCAGGTAGAGGACTGGGTACAAATGCCAAAAAAAAGGCTGGTTTGGAAAGAGAGCCCTACCAGTATCCACAAAAGAGAGCTTCAGCTCCTAATTCTGATTGCGAAATAACGCGATCGAAATAAAGAAATTTAACGCTGACCCTTTAAAAAATGTTCAAACCAGAGAGCTTGAGATAACTTTTAGTATGGATTGCATGTGGGCCAGTGGACACTCACACGGAGCTTCGCTGGATTGAGAATTGAGTTTCGATTTATAAAACGCTTTTCGATTGAGTGTCATAAAACCAAAACCAAACTTATCACAACGGCTGATCAGAGGAAAGTAAAATACTCTTAGGAACCAATGAGAACTTCAACTAAAATCAACCAAATTGCGGGAAAACGCGGGTGACCAAGTTGTGATTTGTTTTAACCTTGCACCTGATTCGTTGAGCGAGTGGAACGAATTTTTGACCAATCACAGAGAGAAGCAACGTAAAACACTCCATTGAAAATGAATCTAACGTTCAAAATTAGAAAAAAGCATTGCTCGAACAGTCTATCTTTGCACACGCCCGGGAGTAAACAAATTCAGCCGCGCTTATCGGCCAGTGCGTGCACTAAGAAAACGTGATGTCAACTAGTTTACCATCATCCAAGAAAGAAAATCCAATGCCAACATGTGTTTGTTCTCTGGAGGCAGCTGGAAGGTAACAGATTTCTTTCTGTGTCGTGTCTTTTCTCCCTAACAAGACAAAATGTGAATTTTTTTTTGTTATCCAAGGCGCAGGTTTTGTAGCGGCCCTATGGAGTTGAACCATTACGATTCAAAGCTTTAAATCTGTTTGTTAAGTCAGTTTATCGTTTGCGTAAACAATTCAAAAAAGAAATGTTTTCTATGATATAAACTGTTTTTGGGTTTACGTGTACAGATTTCATTGAATTTGCTAACCACTTCGAATTGGAAACAAAAGCAGTTGACGACACAATTCAATACCATTTTGATATCTTTTCTTTGTCCAGTCATTCTAGAAGCTATCAAGTCATTAATAAGCTCCAGTACATCAGTGGTTCTGTCCCAGGAACACAGGCAGTTCAACAGTGGACCGTACTCTGAACTAAGTGAGCTGGCAGGCAAGCTGGATAGAGATGAAAGACACTTGGCGCTGGGAAAAAAGAGGGAAATAACGATAAATAGGAACTAAATACCGGGTCGTGCTGGCCTAAGGGATGGACCACCAGAGAAGTTATGGGGGGAGGGGGTGGGGTTTTCAAGACATGCATAAATTTTTTTTTTTTTTTTTATAATGGTCTAGCATTATGTGCGCTGGACTGCGAATCGAAACGTCCGAGTTCAAACCCTGGATAAAGCTGTGTGTTGTGTTCTTGGGCAGGATGCTTTCCCCTTCAAATGACTCTTCCACCTTTGAGTACATTTTTTTGTTTGTAAATATCTGTCAGAGACAATAGACGAAAGCGTTTGAGGTGGAGGTCAGGGGGATTCCTGACAAGGACTAACATTCCACACAAGAGAGGAGTAATATTTCAGTTGCTTCAAGCCAAAGAAACCGGCCGGAATAAAGCTCCGGTTGCTACGCGAGTTAAAGCCGTAGAAAGACTAACGTACATGTACCTACCTAAAGGCGGGCAGTGATGAGGACGGAAGAAATCCAGCAATTACTAAACAAGCTGCCTGAATGCGGGTTTGCTGTTAAGAAAAGCATGCATTTTGTTACATTACACTTTGCACTTGGATTTTTTTTTTCAATTTTCGTTGGTAGGCTGACAACTTACAGTTCAAACCAAAGTCAAACCTTTGGCAACGTTTTTACCGGCAAAATGAGTTTATTTAGAGATATCATACCAAAAGAAACTTCAAAGTCGTGGGTACCAAATATTTATATTGCTCACTACAAATTCCGGTCTAGATTCAGAGGGAAACGTATACATTTTTAAACAGAAGGGGAAAATAAAAATTTGTGGAGTCATTTTGTCGTGTGATGAGTGAGTAATACATACCTTAAATACTCCAAACAGAATGGGAAGAGCGTTTGTGAACTTTTCAACCAACTTTGACCTTGTTGCGTCGTTGGCGCTCTAGAAAGTGGAATTTGAATAACGTATCATCACTCAGAAAATGTTGACACCCACCCGAACGAGTTTCCCTTTTTCCCCCCCCCCCTCCCGAACGAGTTTCCCTTTTTACTCCCCCCCCCCCCCTTCCAGCCTCCATCACTCTCAAAGTGAATAACTGACTTGCCCCCGAAGAGAAGAGTTTGACATTTCAACCCCCACTCCAAACAATAAAGGCCTTCTCATAATGGAGTGCAGAATTGAAGTAATCCCTGTGGTTTCTCGGTCTTCGAGCCTCTTACAACTACGTTGATTTCTTCGCTTTCCTGATCAATTCACTGAATTAAATACCTGAAAATCAGGTTTCAATGAAGAATACCTTGTCCAATTTGTCCTTGATACCTCCCCAACAGATGGCTATTGTCTCAGCCAGGCCCGCTAGTGTGTTAACATCATATGTCCCCAGTTTCTCCAAGCACTCAGAATTCTCCTTGTCCTCAGCTTACCAGAAAATGACATTTACAAGGGAAAAAAATTAATAAAATGACCAAGGTTCTATTCTCTCAAAAATATCTTCAGATTCAGATTTGTATCACTTACCTTGGCTAACAGGTTCCAAGGACAGACTTTCATCATGTTCATTTTTTGCACACTTCACCAGGCAGTTACCCAGAAATGCTATGAACTTGCCTAAAAGAGAAACACTGAATGTGAAATTCCATCAAACAAACATATGCATGTTCATTAAATAGTAGTGGAGAATTTGATGTTGGACATAACATTCACGGCGAGGGTAGAGCCTAAAATTGCTGATAGCCTAATGACAGGAAAATAGAATTTATCCATTCGCCATTATTTGTTGTAAAAGTTTATATAAATTAGAAGGCCGCTTCAACCCTTTCATGAAACAATCAACTTTAAACACTAATACATCATAATGAATATATCCTCGTTAGAGCATTTAACCCGCTGTTACAATGAGTTTTGAGTTTCTCATTTTCAATAATTTTCCCAAGTTATTTACTCTTGGTCTACTTAACAACAAAAGCGCCAGTTTTAGTCAAATTCCTTGGACCGGAACATCTGCTTCAAAGGTGTCTTCAAAAGAACTTTGGCTTATAATACTATCGCAGATACTAACCTGTTGCTGATATGGTTGTGTGTAGGTGAACATATTGATAAAATTTCCTGGCTGCAAGAGGATTGGATTGCCACAAAGCTGAACACCGAGTGGCCTACAGGTAAAGATACAAATAAATGCTTAACGCTTTAGTCGTATTTGTAAAGGGAGTGGGGTGAGGCGAGGTGAGGGACGGGGGGAGGGGCTACAGACAAGATCGCAGAGTGAGAGAAAACAAGCAAATGACACAGAAAAACATGTTTAGTGACTTTCAGAAATAAGGCTTTTGTTTGAAGTAACTGGCTTAAGGAAGGATTACAATGTTTAGAATTTTAATTAATTTTGAGGCATATAACAATTTCTAGCTACCCAACACCATGCTTTCAGAATTCATTTGTGCCACATTTGTCCTGTCATTAGGCTATCAGAAATTTAATAAAACAGCATAGGGCTAGCATATAACACCCACAAAACTACACAAACCATTGCAGAAGCAGTAGAACAATGCAGATTGGAAGATTGTTACGATTGTTAAGTTTGTTTAAAGAAATTTTTCGTGCTTTGCGAATAGCTCTTACCGCTGTGCATTGTGGTTTGGTGTTATGGTGATTCCCTAGAAAAAAAAGGGGGGGGGGGACCATAACTCATTTAACTCACCTGTACATCAACACTCTTGTTAGTGGGATGAAATGAATTGACAAGCAGTTTGACAAGTCTCCTTATCACTGCCGCAGACTGTTCCACCTCCAACTGAGCGAGCAACTGTTCTAGTGGCACTATATTCCAGAACTGAAAAGAAACAAAAAGAAAGAATCTCTTAGTAGCTACATTGTCCGACAGAGTCGTAGCAGATCTGGCAGCCTAAACATCTGCACTATGGAAATAAATATTTTTTCTTATCCGGAGGGTGCAATTCATCAACGAGTATGAAGGTGGCCACACGATGACGGATCGTGCCTGCCGCATCGAATGGCGACGACTTGCGCTTCAGACAATACGTTTTCAGAATGGGAAGACGTGTTCATCTATGTTTGTTGTGTTTACTCTTAGTGTTCTTCAGCATGTGATGTTTTTGTTAGTGATCCCAGAACGTCAAGTATATTGCTTCATGTAACGATAAATGCATGTATTTATTTCTTCCGCGTGTGACGCTTATGCTGGGTTTCCTGAGCCATAAAATTGCCAAGTGAAAGAAGGCTTGTTAGCTTCGCTGCATTTATAAACTAAACACACTTTTTGTTTACAAGCTACATCCAGAGTTTCAATTCTGTCTTGGCGTCACCACCTAACCTCTGACAGGCGGTCACAACCAGACTCAGTTTGCGTGCATTTTAAAAGAGCATTACATGTATGTGAATGCTTCAAAGCAGACCTGCCAACATTCACACACTGCTTCAACTAACCTTTATTGCCTTGAGGCCTTTGACTAACAGCAAAACATCAAGAAAAACCACCCGCACTCTCTCCGCCTGATCATGCACCAGGTCTTGCAAATTGCTCAGCAACGGCTTCAATAGAGGGTGACTGAGACGATTGTCCAGCAAGAATTTTAAGCCCTAAGAAAATTGGACGTGGATTCTTGTGTATCACAAAATGACAAATAGTGATACATATGTGAAGACTTGAGAAAAACTACAGATATTCTCGAAAGTAGTTCCAACTTACGCCACCCCTTTGAAGTAGTTAGCCACTCAGAAATTACTTTTAAACCTTGGTAAACTAGTTCATGAACAAGAATTACTGCGAAAGCGTCTACTAAACGCGTACAATTTAGAGTGAATTTTTAAATAAAGAGTTTGCATTTGCCCATTTTCTAAATCGGTTAAGCACTTTCGAAATGTAAAACACCCAAAACCAAATTTCATTTTTAATTTGATTACATTTTTTGGCTTTTCATAAACGTAAACCTCCTAATGAACCTGCCTGCGACCTGAATTATAGCCTTTAAACAGGCTCTTTATTGGCGCTACGACGTGAGCAGCGAAGCCCACGCGTTTTGAGCTAGACCTCTCACACACTTGATGCATTCTCTGGCTCCAATCGTGTGGGTTTCGCAGGTCATGCTGTAACATTGAAGAGAGCCTGGAACATGCGTACAGCCTGACGCACTTTTCAATTATTTTTTCCAACTTGTCTGTAGACAAAAATGTGAACGTCAATGTCTTTGTCTCTTACCTGAAAAACTGCTACCCTTACAGCACTAGAGGACGTGTCAAAAGCCAATTCTGTTACCTGCCAGCAAACGAATGATGACTGTGTATCACAATATTCAAATACTTTAACACTCTATATGTCCTGTGGTGGTCTAAGTGAGAACCGATAATTAACAATAATCCATACACCGTGTTTAATGTATTCTCTCAAACACCGGGCCCGACTACAAGCCAACATGATACACGTATTTTGATTGCTTCTTACTTATGATCTAATGGAAGACAGACACATAGATGACTTTCCCATAAACAACTTTTTTTTGCCATATAAAACAGAGAGATTCCATGTTGCCGCGGGTCTGAACAGTAATAGATCGCAGAATACGTAAACATGTGCCAGGTAAATCAGTGACACGTTCGGTTGCGCCTCGTGCGCCACTTCTTTGTTCTTACCACATTTTAACATCATCTGTGTTCTATTACAGAACAGAATCACGGTAACATGATTTCCATTTGTTAAATGGATCACAAGGATATTTAACTGAGGCCCTGAGTTTCATCGGGGTTTCAGCGTTTAATTTTTCTGACACTAACAAGCAGCAAGATCCTACCAGTTTTGTTAGAAACATCTTGATGATATGAGCCGGAATAAGCTCCCAGAATACCCCGGTGATGCGACAGACACCATGAATGGCGGTGGCTCTCACTGTAGGATGTGCATCTCCAAGCAAGTCCTGTTCAGAAGAAAGATTTTTTGTAATCATAATTGCACTCAGCTTGCAACATATTGTATTGCTAAACGAAGAGATGGGTGCTTCACACGTTGTTCCACTAAAAATTGGTCTAAATACACTATACCTTCAGAATATCAAACTGCTTCTGTAGAAGTTCATCAATCTCTTCATTCCCAGCATCTGGATTTTGCAACGGAAATATATCTGTCAACAGAGCTGCTGCATTGGCTCTGACCATAGGATTTGCCACCTGGATGGAGAAAAATGAAATATCCTAAAACAAAATTGTTTTGGTCTTTACGTAGAAGCAAGTATGAATTTCGTTGACAGCAGAGGCTTGGAAACTAAATACCGTAGAGCTTTACAAGTTAATGCAAAATGAGCCTGATTGAGTACTTATCTGAAATGAATGGAAGTCCTTTTAACTGCAGGGAAAGCTACAGGAATAGGTAGTTTTCTTACAAAAAAATTTTTTTTCATGATACTATGTAAGTATTCAAGGGTCATCTTTGCATTAATTACAGAGCTCGATTAAATGTTTAAAAACTGTTGTTATAATGGTGTATATACATACTTTAAATGCCCTCCATATAATTGGCTGGTACAACCTTAGAAGAGCTTCATCAACTCCTCTTTGCTTCTTTTGCTGATGAATGTATTCTAAAACCTAAACACAAACAACAGGAGAGAGTAAACTTAGGTAAATCATCTGACTCCAATATGTCACATATTGAAAAGGACTTAAAGTATACTTCTAATAGAAAATTCTATACATCAAGTTGATTTTGGGTTGTTGTCTTTTTTCCCTACACAATGACAGTAATTAAAAATCCAGTCTAAAGATGATTTGAAGTATGTGGTTGCCACTGTGAATAATATGACTTGTGTGTAATATGTAGTACACTTATTCATCTGAATTATCTTATTTATAAAACAGCACCAGGTTACCTTTCGTAGTCTTGATGCCATTGACTTAGTACCAGTGCGCTGTGCATGGACAGCAGCAAACATCAGGTCTTGAATACAGTTTTCTTCTAAAACCTGACGATAATAAGAAAGAATGCGCTTGGTTATAAAATCACTGCTACTGCATCTTGTTTTTTCCATCCATGATATGAAATGGTGGGCTTCATGTAGGCCAATAGAGTATTCAGACAGATTCCCCAGCTTGTTTCACACCACTGTTTCGTGGCTGACTTCTGAGAGGAGTTGTATGTTATGTAAAACCAAATGCAGTCAAAGCCAAAGGGGAGAATATTATACAAAGGAAAATAAAAGGTTTGACTTGAAAGAAACAATTAATCAATTAGCAGGATCATGCAGCAAAGGTATTCCTGCAAATAAATGTTGTCAGAGGTACATGTACAGTATAAGCACTGCAACCTTACTGCATAACAAAACCATCACCAGGGTCAAGGAAACAGCCATTTGTTAATCAGGCAGGCATCAGAAAGCAATATTACAACAATAATTACTTTTATTAAAGTTGTCAAAATTTTAGCTACATGTACAGTTGTATGCTTTAAGTTGAGTTCACTGTGAACACCAACAACAATCCTTTTCAGAATAAACTTCAGCCACCTGATCATTGTGACACAACACAATCCAAAACAATTATCATTGTATATTGTAAGAAGTTACACATTTCAATTAAAACAAAGTTAACAAATTGTGCACCTTTAAGTAAGCTCCAGAAGCAACTCTCCAGGCACGAAAATAAACTTCACCATACAAACTCAGGACATTCCTGGGAGAGGATATAACACACAGTGTAAGCATAAGGAATTACATGATCACATTCTGTTGAGTGATACAAACTCACTGTTCACAATCATTTTAAAACATTACCCTCAAAATGAGACAATTGTCATATGAGTTGACCTTAAATACACCCTAGCATTAGCATTCGTATTCTCTACACTGTTCTCTTGACATTTCCCATGGCAAATGACAAGGAGAATTTGTTTTACAATCAGGAGCTTCATAAATTGGTTTACAATCATTTCATTTATTCTCCTGACCTTTAAAAAAATTATATTTGATTTAAGGGTGATACTGTAAGGAGATTTTAGAGAAGCCAGTTACTCTTAAGGGTCAAGAAATAACAGAATAAGGAATATCAAATGTTATCCTAGCTCATGATGGTATACATATCAAAAATTGTAGAAAAAGAAAAAAAAACCTTGGGACGAGGAATGTTATAAAATTCAATATCAGCAAATTCTCTCACACTGAGTTTTCCTAATTCTTAAGACATGTGGCAATAAAGGTGTTGAAAGTCAATGTTCTATTCAGTAGAAACAGAGACTGTGCTAACAATTCCTTTTATCATTAACCTGAGACGAAAAGAAAAACAAAAAATCACTCAACCTATGTAATACTTGTAAATAAATTATCACAATAATAGGTTTGTATGAGGAATTTCACTTACATAGTACAGTAGGGAATCTGGTTTTTTATCGTTTTATGGAACTCCTTGGCCAGTCCAGGATTCAATCCAAATGAATAGCTTAAGAAACGACGTCCCTTTAGAGAGATGAGCAAAAAGCCTGGTTTGTTCGATGGATTCCTATAATTCTAAGAGTTAGTGGCACATTTTTTAAAAAACACAAGCACGGCTGGTAGTTCAAATAAAAGCTGCAACCCAGAAGTTGCATCATAAAAGAAATTTCTCTCCTTTTTCATTCACTCAATTGAAGTGTTTATTTCAACATTTTTTGGGCTATGTTACATAACTCTATGGAACCAGCCTTATCGCAAGCTTGCATCACCTCTCAGAGACCAGTTGTTCAGAGGGCAGATAATGGTATCCTATGTGTTTTGCACTTCGCCAATTGATGTTTTTTAATCAAGCATTTTTTGTTCATTTAAGATAAAGCATTTTTTTTTTGTTTACCTAAGATATCATGGGCTGTCAAGATTAGTTCATATACATGAGTAAGATTAAGAAAGCGGCAGTAGGGAATCCAAGAACAGGTTGAAAGGAATGTGCTTCATTCCAAAAGTGTGTTTTCTGCCTCTATGCAAGGACTGGAAAATATCGCATCTTGAGCGGGATAACACCTTACAGAATTGTGAGATCAAAATTGTACATATTCTAGAAAGCTTTTTTGTCGCTTCTGTTTTTGTTATAACCAATATAGGCCATCCATGTATTTTTTACTTTCAGTTGACTAGCTAGAGCATGTGCAAGAGAAAACTTGCTGAATAAACTAGTTAAAAAAATTGGTAGACCCCGAGGACTTTATTTTCTTGGTGAATCTTCAAAACCAGTAGTACCCGAACCCGTGGTGTGAAACACTATGGATAAATTGCTACCCAGGAGATATTTGTTAACCCTTTATACCCTAACATCAGTATACTTATTCTCCATACTGTTCTCTAAATATTTCCTGAGGTTCTGATACGAGAATTTGTTAAACAATCAAGAGCTTCTTGAATTTATCATTTCCTTTATTCTTGTGACCTTACTGTTTGATTTAGGGTTGATATTGTAAGGAGAAACTAGAAGCTGGTCACCCTTAGGGGTCAAAGAGTTAAGGAAAGATACCTCACTATCTACCAGATAGAGATTTATCTAGTGAACAGCATTATCCACCCTCCCAACAACCAAGGCCAGAAATTTGCTTGGTTAGATTATACAGATGCATTAGTATCCAATAGTCTAGTTCAATACTAATGTAAATACATCTCTATAGTACTGTTTCTATCAATTCCACCAACCTCCTCCAACTTGAGGTATGTTGGGTGTATCATACATTGATGTAGTAGTTGCTTTAATGATTCAGAAGAGTCATCATCAAAGTCCATCAGAAGAAGACACTGGCGTAAACCCCACACACGTTTAACATCAGAAACCTACAAGCAGTCATTATAATTGTAAATTATGTGTTACCAGTGATCATTACACTAAATTTCTGATACAGAGAGTTATAGGTAAATGCCACCATAATGCACAATATAGGGAAGGATTACAAATCAAAATGTATTGGACCAGAGATACTAAAGGAGATCAAATCCTTCCCAGGAGAGCTTGTCAAGCAGCACGTCTTTTCAAAAATTGCACCATTACACCCTTGCATGTAGATTGCTTAAATTTATTATAAAACATTAAAATTACTGTTTCAAACTTAGTTCTGCATCCACAACTTTAAATAGTTTCAAATATTCATTTTTATGCATTGTGTATAATTGGTACATGGAATAATTTGCCAAGAGAAGTTGCAGAGGCTGACAATTTGAACATTTTTAAGAGTAGACTCAGATATTATCTTATGAATGTTTTGCGCAAACATTAGGTTACTTGAGGGTGTGACATTTTTATATCACGAAACAGATATATATATAATTAATTTTATTTTATGTTTGAATTATTTTCAGGAGGAAATAAACTAGAAAGGTATAACTTATTTTATCTCCTTTTCCCTTTTCATTTGAATGGTGAATAAACAATTTTTCTTCATATTGTTGTTATTGCTTACCAATCCTCGGCCAAGGCTCCTTATTATCAGGTATGGGAAAGTTTGAGTGATCAATTCCTCCTTTCCTTCCAGTTCATTGAGAAACCTATGATGGATTTACAAAAAAATGTTTCATTGATCCCATGTCATACATAAAATATTCTGAGATTTATGAAAATAACAACATTAAGACAAAGATCAGTTTTAAATCATTCTGTGAATTGTACAATCCATGTTAAGTTGCATAACAGACTCACCAAAGTTCACACAGCTGGGCAATATCATTCTGCAAGGATTCAGATCCTTCAGGCAGGGACATTAAAAGACCTAACGATAATACATGTGAAAAACAAAATTTTAGGTCTAAACACTGAACTTTTTTAATCTTAAACATCAAATTTTGCTCTATTCATACTGTTTACATGAAGTTTATTTTTATCAACCAAGTTGATAATGTAAATTGGCCACCATAAAGAGTTTCTAAAGCTGATGTTTCAAGTGCTAGCTCCTTGTCTTTGGCTCTGACAAAGGGCTAACACTCAAAACATCAGCTTTAGAGAAGATGGTGAATAGAATAATTATGTCACAAACCATGAAGAATGGCAGCTGTTTCCAACAAAGCTGAAGGGACATGTGTGGACTTCTCTGGCATCACAACAAGAGCACAGAGGCCCACTGTTGTGACCCCTTCCAGGTAGGACAGAAGAACAGGCCACTCCTTAGAGGAAAATTATGTAAACGCATTAATCATCAAATCTCATGTTCTAACAGAACTTTACTCAGAAATCCTAGGTGCAGTAACAGTGCCCCAGTGATGTATTGCGGTGAACTGCAGATACCTAAAGTTTGAGTTAAGGCCCAGTCATTCAGAAAGCAGATAACCCTATGCAATGGATAAATTGCAATGTAGCAGATACACAGTAAGTGTTGATGAAATGTACTGTGCTATCCAGCAGAGAAAGGTTTATCTAGTTATTAATATTAAAATTACCAGAGTCTCTATCCATCTTAGAGTATAAATGAGCCTGAATGAATTGATAGGTAAACCTGAAAAAATGCTGGAGATGTCCAATGTCTGCCTAGCATCCTGCTTTATGCTATTTATGTTATTCAAACTTCTGTAAACGTATTGTTACTACCTGAAATAAAGACCGTGGTCTCTCATTGATTCCTTGCACTTTTCTTAACATTATTTTCGAATTTAATAGAAATGATTACTGGAGTTACCGAAGGTCCTTCGTCTTCAGAGTCATCATTTTCCCGAGAGCCAACAGGATTTGTCAACAAAAGTCTGCGTGTCATGTCACGGAGACCGGACCACAACCTTTCGTGATCTTTTTTTGGCAAAGTCTGCAAAGCCTCTTCAATGTTAAATGAATCATTCTTTGAGTTCTGTTGCATTTATTGAAGAAAAAAAAATGTATTAATAAATAAAAGCAAAATAGTGGTTACATCTAATAATTGTACCACAAAAGCAAACATGGCCCTCATTCCTGTTATTCATCCCGTGGATGACATAATAAAATGTACGCTAGACTACACCATGCATGCTCGATACCTTAATGACAACTGAATGCAGGTGCATACTTGCCACCTACAAATATGCGGCGCGTGAGTACAAGTGAAATCAATGATTGAGTTCGAATCTTTGATCTTGATGCTTGCTACATACACTCAATTTCCAAAATTTTAGACTAAATACTAAAATAAACGAAAGATAAACTTTTGGTGACACTTTCATGTACGAAGGAAAAGAACAAAGAAAATATCGCGACAAGTTTGCGATCGCTCTGCAAAATAAAAACAAGTAAGTTACTAAAGTAGGTCACTTACGTGCTGTTCTATAAAACGAAGGAAAGCTTGCGGAGAATCGTTTCCAACAGAGTTCAAAAACTGTTCTCTATGATTCATCATACAACGAACGCTATCTGAGAACAAAACAACCTACTGTTGGAAAAACAACTTCTAGCTAATAATAATGTGGTAGAATTTTCAGTAATCGCGCGCTTTTTTCTATATTTCCCGATCTAAGAACACGTGACACTGAAGTCTTGATCCAGTCTTCCGCGAACGAGACGCCAAACGAGTCCGAATATTATTCTTTTTTGTTTAAGAAATTGATAGATAAGACCAATAAATTTCAGGAAAATGTTAAGAAAAGATGTCCTCTTAGGATTAAACTTTTTTTCCAAGATGAAAATAAATTCTTCAGAACCATGTACGTTTGTATGTAGGGGACACTTTGTTCCGCATAAATGCAAAATATGCACCTTTGTTTCGCTTGAAACAATAAACCAACATGGCGGCACGGAAAAAGGATGGCGCTCCTGATTGGAAATACTACGAATCTCTCGATACTATTGCTCTCTTTGAACCGGTCAAGCAGTATCTGCTGAAAAACTGTAAAAAGGTTAGTAGTCATTTTATATGTTCTAGGTTCAAACTGAAAATACATCGTGCTATAATGTATTACAATCGTTGTCAAATAAATTAGATTCGTGATGAACACATGGCTCAATTAAATAGTAGTTGGAGTCGATAGTGCTCACACTGGATTTCCCGTAATCGTGTTTTCTTTTCCAGTATGTGCAAGTGGAACCACCTACGAATAAAGCTCTCGCTACACTTACAGCACAGCTGCTACAATTTCAAGAAGTACGTATGTTTATTATGACAGGTTACAAAAGTTCACTGTACATCTTTAACATTCTACATTGGATAACATGAAAATCCATCTAATTCTAGAAGCTCTGGAGTATTGATGTTCCGTTTTTTTATCTTGGTTAAAAGAGTTAAGTTACCAAAAATATATTTAGGTGAAATAAATCAGTTCAAATGCTAAATTAAACCAAGAACTTTTGTTAATACAGTAATTACGTTAATTAAGGTGAAATGAATTTTACGTTGTATGTTTCCGATTGATCGATTTTATAAATGAACATTTTATAACTCAGAACAATCGATCATGACACGATCTTGGGTATGAAACCTTTCAATTTCTAGGACTAGAAATATAATTCTCTGAATTGTTGTTTGTTACATATTTTTGTGTTGGCTCCTTATGAGCATTTGATTTATTATCAAAACATGATCGAATCCCCAATTCGATTAGTAATTCTTGTTCTTTCTCATTATCTATGTGGTTTTCTGGGAAGAGGAAGAGATAATTCAATTTTGGTGGCACTAGTATGTTTAAATTGAATTATAATTCAAGTTATCAGAGTGGTTTTGATTAAGAGATGTTTAACTAATACTAATGAGAAAGTAAACTCAATGACAAATCAGAAGAAAGGAAACTTAAGTGCCTAAAGTGTGCGAAAACAGAAGCCACCAAGTTGTGATTAGTGTAAGTTTTGTATCTGATTGGTTGAGACATTGACGCAAAACTTTTAGACCAATCATAGAGCAAAGTAAAGCAAAACAAATGCAATCTCAGATTACTTTTGACACTCAATGTGAAAATTGCTCTCTTGGCTACATTGTGCAGTTCTGGTAGTTACATAAAACGGTTATGATTCCTTTTAATGGTATCTCAATCATGGTTTACTTCTTCAAGGATAACTTTGGCAAGGATGTTAGCAAGCAGGCACTTTTGACTAAACTACCAGTAAGTTTACCTTTATTTTTTGTTTACTGTTCTTCACTTTTGTTGTTTTTATATGTTGTATTTGTTGCAATTTTTACCATCATGTGATGTTTAACATAAGTTATGTTTTTATTTTTGATGTTTCAGATGAAGATGTTCATGGATTACTCTTCAGGTGGCAGTCTATGTGTTATCTTTGCAAATGTATTTAAGACCAAGATGGAGCAAGGATGGTGAGTTCTTCATTCAGGACTGAGTTTCATGTACATGTTCATTTATATGTGAAACATTAAAAAATCAAAAAGAAAAATTTAATGAAAAATAACCAGAATGTTTCTGTCTTAATCAAACATATAACATGCACCAATACTTAAATGTGGTGGATGTTAGATTCTTTTAATAATACCATGTCTGACTCAGTCATTTTTCCAATCTTTTTCTTTGTTACATGCAGGAGGAGATTTGACTTCCAGTCTCCATCACGAATGGATAGAAATGTGGAGCTCTTCTTGAACATGGAAAAGGCATTGAGAGAGGTAAATGTACAGTCAAGTGGCATGATCATACAATTATTCTAGTGTCAAGACTCCTTCCAAAGTCTTCTATTCTTTTCTGATTTTTCCATTGTTGTTGTTTTTATTAGGCTAAACTTTTGAGCGTGCCAAATGTGTTCATTACACCAGAAGTGGATCCACGACTTGCTGCCAAATTAAAGGATATTGTCAAGAGGCACAATGTAAGAATTTACAATAATTTTAATCTTTTCACTCACAGAATTGATTGTTTGCTAGATTCTTCTTACAGTTGTAATACACTGTCAAGCAGACGAATTAAGAAAAATGAGAAGATAATTCTAATCAGTTTAATGAAATTGTCTTGATATAGCTTCAAATTCTCACCAGTAGCCTTAACCCTCGATACCCTTTTTTTTCAGGGTGCTATAACAGAAGACAGATCAGAAGCAAGTCATGTTGTTTATGGCCCTCCTCCACCTTTTCCTGAAGGTTTTTACTTCTTTGTTGTTGTATTTCTAGACAGTTAAAGTTCTACTGATCTCAGGCCTTATAGCCTGTAACCTGAAACATCAGCTTTAGAACTCTTTATGGTGGCCAATTTACGTTATCAACTCAGTTGATAATACTAAATTACCCTCAGCTGTTAATGTTATATAATTTCTTAACAAGTTCTTTCGGTATTTACTGTATTCCCATTATAATTTATACCCACAGAGGAGTGGCTGAGGCCTCTGCTAAGACAAGACAAACAAGTTCTAGTACATTGGTGGTATTACCCAGACAGGTTTGGAAATTTCTATGCCTTGACAATTTTATTTGCTCTACCTTCTAATTACTATGAGTACAATTTTTTAAAATAAATGTTTCATTTTCTAGCTATGACACCTGGGTGCCATCAAGTGACATCGAAGATGAGCCTCAGCCAGAGCCCCAACACCAGGGACCCTGGCAGGTAACCAAGTAATGCACTCACATGACAATCACCCATCCGAATTTTACTCAAATTTTAACCCCAAGAATGTGTGTTGACTTTGACAAAGGACTACTGTCTATAAACCATTTTTGAAGTTCACTGTAATTTGTTAGTGATTCACAGTGAACCATTTCATTGGCTCTTCAACATTCTCAATATACTTGTTTATGGAGTACCTTTTTTTCATTTTGTTGGACAAAGTAAAAAAAGAAAAAAGTTGGCACATTTGATTTTCTTGTACACTGTACATACAGTATACATGTACAAACTGTGTGCTCTTGAGCAAGTCCTAAGCATGAACTGCTGGCAGTAAAGATCATGAATGCCCATTAATTTAAGTTTGGGAATACAGGTATTTGTGTAAACTTAGTTCAATATTAATTAAGTTTCAGTGTAAGTACTTTTTCTCCCTGACATTTTATAACTTAAGTGAGTATTCTTTGAATATGTTCAGACATGTAACTTTTTTTTCGTTAATTTGTAGGTGAATGCTCGTTGGTTGACAGATCTTGATGTTTTCAATGAGTGGATGAATGAGGAAGATTACGAGTTAGCTGATACAGATGGCTCTGTGAGTTTTGATCTTTTTTTTGTGTTTCTGCTAAAATACTATTTATGAGAATTGCCATGTACACATATCTGTTTGGTCTTTGGGCCACTCTTAAAACATTGCATTTAAATAAACTGGCAAGTAGTAAATTACAACTACTGAATGTTAGTTTTCTTTTTCTTTGTTTTCCTTCTGATTCTCCTTTTTTCAGAAATGTCAGCTTACCAAATTTTTGATGTCATATACATTTATGTGCAGATGTATTAAAAATGCAAGCTCATGTATACATGTACAGTACTTCCTTAGGCATTTGAAATGAGATTCAAAAAATTAAATTATGTACAGATTTTTTATTGTGCCTTTAACTGTATTTTTCATTTTTTTTCGTCTCAGGGCAACAAAAGAGAAACATCCCCAGCATTAGGTTAGTACATGAGTGCTACATGTACATGAGTATGAGTTAGAGGCTGGAATACAAACAGCAGGTTATGCAAAGTGGACTACTTATAAGATTCAGAACATTTTATATAGAATTATATCCCTCTTGGCTGAACTTTGCACATCCACAAGTTTCTTCACAAAATGCTGATCACTATTTTTACTTTGGAAGACTGAAAACTATCTGTCAAAGAGAGAGATCAAACTTCTGACTTCCACTTTTTGGGAACTGTCAAGTTAATAACAATATTTTATGATGTTGATTTGAAGTGTGTGTTTCTGAACAGGAAAAACAAGAAGAAAAAGCTTAAGAACAGGTGCCAGTTCTGATGAGGTACATATATGTTTGAGTTCTAATCATCTAGCCATATTTTCTATGTGTCTTCCCATCACACCAGTGGCTTTTTTTGGAGGAAGTTCCTTTTGTAAGGGTGCAAGAATGAGTGCAAAGTATACATGTAAAAGGAAAAGTACGCCCCATAACCCAGTCCTGTGCTTTTTAATTTGCCCACAGGAACTGGTTTTTGAACATAATTAGCAACCATTACATTTATTGTTATTCATCACATAAGGAATTCAATTGCATAATGTATCACTATGATTTTGCATGGCTTATTATTTTAAATTTTACCTCAAAACGAATTCTACATGTGGATATGACAATACAATGTAATTCAGCCTTCTTAACCTTTTGATAAGAGGAATCACAAGACCGTATTTTTTTTATTTCTGTGTGTATCCATTACAAAGCTTTTTCTTTTCATTTTGCAGCAACCAGGCAGTCCTGATGGAGGTAATTCTGGGAATACTATTCATTCGTTTGTTTTATTTTATTTATTTATTTTTTAATAATCACAAACCTGTGGCCTAGATAAGGTTCCCTCTCTAAATGACAGAATGCTTTTATCCATAA